AAATTTGTCAAAATATTATTTTAATTAAATTCAATATTTGATAATTTATTTAAAAAATGTTGTGTGTTTTTTATAAATGTGTCATTTTTATTTGCAAATGGTTGTTAATAAAAAATTTAATAGTTCACTACAAGGAGAATTCATGGTACTACAAATGGGTCTAAGTGGTATATTCGTTTTATGAACTTTCGGTACTCCTTTTTAATGAGCTGTAACTAATGTTCTTTGATTTTATTTATTATTAAAGTTTACTAATTCACGAATTTTTTGCGCATCTTATGTTTTGTCTTTTCTTTAATCTTCTGTTTATCCTTACAACATTCTTTAAAATACCATTACCACTTTTTTTTGAAAAGCATTACCTGACTTATGTACTTTTCCTCTTAGGAACCTCTTAACTTTAAAACTTTTCTTTCTAGATCTAGATGCTTGTTTAGACACATTAATATATTGAGATCTTTCCTTTGGACTCAGAAGACGCCAAATACCAGCTGCTCTTTTGATCACCTCATCCATACATATATTTCTTATTGTTCGCATATTTCCAAAATGTTTTAAAAAATTTTAAAAAGGATTTTTGTATAATCTTCTGGAAGCTGTTGTAGTAAAGTTTTTTTGCTGCAAATTATACTAAACATTCTAGAGATTTGTATTTTATCATTGGTATTAAATCTGTGGTACTAAGGCAGAACCAGATATGTCAAAAATAATCGAATTTTCGATTTGTATGCCGATATATCGGGTTTTAAACACAGAATACAACGGCAAAACCCTAGATGTATGTACATTAATATTCTAAATTTTAGGATCATAAAAAGTAATAATCCGACATGTCCGTATCTTCGAAATTGGTCGATGGCATAACCCAATATGTAAACATATCGATCTTTGGCAGCTTTCGAGTAAGCATCAATCACAGGGCGAATACCGATAAGTCTGACTTATCGGGTTATGGCAACTATTCGTCTAGGCCTTCTGAAGACGCCGCGTTCCCGGTCACCATCAGTAGCAGACAAGTGACCGGTTGTGACGCAAGTGGTTATTACTATTCGGTTTCAACTTTAGTGTTGAAACTACTGGTGATTTCGTTTTGAAAATAATAACGATGTACACAAACAGTAGAGCATAAAAAGTGCCTTCTATGTGTTTATCATGTAAGTTATTTTGAACATGTTTACAATTTTTGTCGTTTGGTTGTACTTTTTAGGCTGTTAAAAATTAAAATGATTGACAAATGTTGCAATAAAATGTGTGTTGACAAAATAAGTCAAGAACAACAAAATAATTTTCATGATAAGTTTTACGAATGTTTAAAAAGGAAACAAAACCAAATTTTGATTGGAGGCATAACTGTTTCTAAGAAAAGTTGTGAAGGAAAAGATCGTAGTAAAACAAGTTTCACACATGATCGACAAGTTACTGCTGCATATAATTTAAAAATAGATGGGCATTCTCAATTAATTTGTAAAAAAATGTTTCAGTCCGTTTATGGGGCAACGAAATTTAAAATTGACTATTTAGTTGAGAAATTGAAACACTCTACGGTACCAGTTGTATCAATTGACGATGACAGAGGTCGCCATGAGCCAAAAAACAAAAAAGTTGATGACCGCAAGTGTATTCTAGAAGATTTAGAGAAATATTCGTATAATCGAAAATGAATTTTAAAAGAACATCAAAATGCAGCCTCATATGATCTCTTTAGAGAGGTGTTTAAGTCAACAGGGTACGCATTCAAACAACCGCATATTGATACGTGCAAAACCTGCGATGCATATATTATGAAAAAAAAGTGTGCCGTGGATCCAGATGAGAAAAATCGATTGACCATGGAACATAATAAACACAAAGATATAGTTGATGTAGGATACAAAGTCAAAGACATGGACAAAGAAAGAGCTAAGCAAGATTTATCAATGAGGGTTTTAGTGTTTGACTTACAGTAAGTCCTGGACACGCCTTCATTGATAGCCAATGTCTCCTTTTATAAACATCTTCTATCAACATATAAGTTAACCATTAGAGACTGTGTCTTAAGCGGAGATACAACTCACTGCTACATCTGACACGAAGCAGTAGAGAAAAAGGGATCCGAGGATATTGCTTCTTGTGTTCTCAAAATACTTGAAAGTTTGCCCGTTAATGTTACTCACGTTATTACCTATTCAGATACATGCGTGGCTCGAAATTAAATGGTTATGGTACGAGAAAACTTTCGGCCTTGTTCAATTTAAAACCTCAACTTAATCGACACTCGACTTACGGCGATCAAGACGTGACAGGCGGCCAACCCCTTTTTTGACAAAATGATACGACGGCCCACTACCCATTAACCCCCTAAAAAAGAAGGACCTACTAAGGCTTCTGCCGATAATTCACCCCGACTGTCATAATTTTTATTTGAGTCTCAACGACAGCATCAACCTGCCAGAGCTTCTTGACAATGAGGAAGAAGACTAATGTGTTTTGTTATTATGATTTTTTTTATGAAAATATATAAAAATGTACTGTAATATGGGGAAGACGACTAATTTTTCTTTTTTATTATTTTTTTATAAATAAAATATTGAAAAAATTGTTGTAACCTGTTTTATTTTTTATTTCACACAATCAATCAATCTTGTAAGTAGTTTCTAATAGTACAGTAGCAAAGTAGATAGGTTGTAATAATAAACGTACGAAGGTATAAACCGATATGTATCGACATTTACGGAGGTAAAGGTCGATATGTCCTAATTATCGAAATTCTAGTAAAAATAATAGTAAAAAATTACAAAATTAACAATATTCTTAAAAGTATATATCTTACACACATTGTCTTCACAATAAAATAGTAAAATAAACCAAATCAAAATTACAATGACCTTACAAACTTTAAAATTGGTTTCCTGAATAATTAATTATTTAGACATATCTGGTTCTGCGTTAGTACCACAAAAATATTATAATAGATAAATATAACTCTGGTAATTTAGAATTAACTAGTGGAATTAAAACTTTGAAACGCCAATAAACTCACTTTAACCTTTAATTGTGACTTATTTCCATATAAATAGTAAAAACTTTCAAAACTTCAGTTTGTAATAAAAAAAAATTAATGTAAAGTTATCAAAATATTTATCTTTCTTAAAGTATATCATTAATACTAATAATATTTATATCATTTATAATATCAGGCTATACTGGTGTATATATACGAAGGCGAGTGGATTTTCATCTCACAGTTTCTGATAGTGCAGCGATACAGAAACTAACTCCATACTATATTTATTATTTTAGTAGATAATTTAAGTAACGGTGTAACATAATATTTATTCTGTGTTTATTTACCAAAAGGTGAGTATATGTGGTTAAAATGTATAATTACGAATTTTTTGTTTTACAAAATTAAAAAATCTTTTTGAATTTTAAAACCTCGTGTACCTACGACACAACAAGTTTTAATAATAATAAAAATATGTTTAAACAACTTAAGTTAAATTTGTTAAAAACATTTTTGCTTATTTAAAGAACTGTATATCTATTATTAGATGTTGGTACTTCTTTTGGTCGTCAAATTATTCTAGATTTTTTTTGATTTTTTATAATAGAAAGATACTCGTGCGGCTTTTGAAGCAAAAAAAGTAAAGTAGGCAGATATGTAATCGTTCCAGGAGCCGTAAGTCTTTTCCTACATAGTGATTGTTACTGTACAAATTTATCTTAATTTATAATATTTTAAAATTAGTTAAACCCCGCATGCTCGGGACTCAAGGTTATGTTACTTAATACATAATATCAGTGCAGGATTAAAATTACAACATATAACACTAGTTTTATTTATTAGTGACTTGCATTCAAATAATTTCTAATCAAAACAAAGTTTCAAACCGAAATTATAAACATTCTATTAGGATCATTTATTTTTAACATAAAGATCGACTGGATATCAAAAAGTATAAAAGGCGATCTCACATTCAAAGTGTATAAAATTATATTCCTTCTGCCTAGAGTAAAATCGAGTGTACGCGCA